AAAATTTGAAAATTCGAGAAATTGAAAGATCTAAAAATTGAAAACTCAAAAATGTGTTCAATCGAAAAATTGGGCAATGAAAAAATTTAAAAAACCCAGACAAGGAACATATAATTGGATAATTGAAAAAGTGAAAAATCCGTAAATTGAAAATTTGAATAATAGAAAAAGAGAGAAATCCAAAATTGAAAAATCGAAAAATTGAGGACGAGGAAACCAAAAAAACGAAAAGTTGAAAAATCGGGAAATCCGGAAATTGAACAACCGCAAAAGTTAAAATTTGAAAAATCGAGAAATTGAAGTCGCAAATTTCAATTTATCTATTTTCCTATTTTTAGGCTTTGGTGTTTTTCAACTTGTAAATTTTTGGATTTTTCGACTTTTTGAAAGACTGAAAAACTATAACATTGAGAAATAGATAAATCGAAAAATTCGGAAATCATGAAATCGACAAAATCGAAAGTTCGAAAAATGAGAAATCGGAAAATTGAAGAATTGAAAAATCTAAAAGTCGAAAAAAGAAAAATCCAAAAATCGATAAACTGAAGATACTAAAAATCCAAAAATCAAAAAACTGAAAAGTCAAAAGATCGAATAATCGAAAACTCGAGGAACAGAACAATAAAAAATTTGAAAATTCGAGAAATCGAAAGTTCTAAAAATTGAAAAATCAAAAATTTGTGCAATCGAAAAATTGGGGAATGGAAAAATTAAAAAAACCCAGACAAGGAAAATATAATTGGATAATTGAAAAAGTGAAAAATCGGTAAATTGAAAATTTGAATAATAGAAAAAGAGAGAAATCGAAAATTGAAAAATCGAAAAATTGAGGACGAGGAAACCAAAAAACGAAAAGCTGAAAAATCGAGAAATCCGGAAATTGAACAACCGCAAAAGTTAAAACTTGAAAAATCGAGAAATTGAAGTCGCAAATTTCAATTTATCTATTTTCCTATTTTTAGGCTTTGGTGTTTTTCAATTTGTAAATTTTTGGATTTTTCGATTTTTTGAAAGACTGAAAAACTATAAAATTGAAAAATAAGTAAATCGAAAAATTTGGAAATCATGAAATCGACAAAATCGAAAGTTTGAAATATGAGAAATCGGAACATCGAATAAATTGGAAAATTGAAGAATTGAAAAATCTAAAAATCGAAAAAAGAAAAATCCAAAAATCGATAAACTGAAGATACTAAAAATCCAAAAATCAAAAAACTGAAAAGTCAAAAGATCGAATAATCGAAAACTCGAGGAACAGAACAATAAAAAATTTGAAAATTCGAGAAATCGAAAGTTCTAAAAATTGAAAAATCAAAAATTTGTGCAATCGAAAAATTGGGGAATGAAAAAATTAAAAAAACCCAGGCAAGGAACATATAATTGGATAATTGAAAAAGTGAAAAATCGGTAAATTGAAAATTTGAATAATAGAAAAAGAGAGAAATCGAAAATTGAAAAATCTAAAAATTGAGGACGAGGAAACCAAAAAACGAAAAGCTGAAAAATCGAGAAATCCGGAAATTGAACAACCGCAAAAGTTAAAATTTGAAAAATCGAGAAATTGAAGTCGCAAATTTCAATTTATCTATTTTCCTATTTTTAGGCTTTGGTGTTTTTCAATTTGTAAATTTTTGGATTTTTCGATTTTTTGAAAGACTGAAAAACTATAACATTGAGAAATAGATAATTTCAAAAAATTCGGAAATCATCAACTCGACAAAATCGAAAGTTTGAAAAATGAGAAATCGGAACATCGAATAAATTGGAAAATTGAAGAATTGAAAAATCTAAAAATCGAAAAAAGAAAAATCCAAAAATCGATAAACTGAAGATACTAAAAATCCAAAAATCAAAAAACTGAAAAGTCAAAAGATCGAATAATCGAAAACTCGAGGAACAGAACAATAAAAAATTTGAAAATTCGAGAAATCGAAAGTTCTAAAAATTGAAAAATCAAAAATTTGTGCAATCGAAAAATTGGGGAATGAAAAAATTAAAAAAACCCAGACAAGGAACATATAATTGGATAATTGAAAAAGTGAAAAATCGGTAAATTGAAAATTTGAATAATAGAAAAAGAGAGAAATCGAAAATTGAAAAATCTAAAAATTGAGGACGAGGAAACCAAAAAACGAAAAGCTGAAAAATCGAGAAATCCGGAAATTGAACAACCGCAAAAGTTAAAATTTGAAAAATCGAGAAATTGAAGTCGCAAATTTCAATTTATCTATTTTCCTATTTTTAGGCTTTGGTGTTTTTCAATTTGTAAATTTTTGGATTTTTCGATTTTTTGAAAGACTGAAAAACTATAAAATTGAAAAATAAGTAAATCTAAAAATTTGGAAATCATGAAATCGACAAAATCGAAAGTTTGAAATATGAGAAATCGGAACATCGAATAAATTGGAAAATTGAAGAATTGAAAAATCTAAAAATCGAAAAAAGAAAAATCCAAAAATCGATAAACTGAAGATACTAAAAATCCAAAAATCAAAAAACTGAAAAGTCAAAAGATCGAATAATCGAAAACTCGAGGAACAGAACAATAAAAAATTTGAAAATTCGAGAAATCGAAAGTTCTAAAAATTGAAAAATCAAAAATTTGTGCAATCGAAAAATTGGGGAATGGAAAAATTAAAAAAACCCAGACAAGGAAAATATAATTGGATAATTGAAAAAGTGAAAAATCGGTAAATTGAAGATTTGAATAATAGAAAAAGAGAGAAATTGAAAATTGAACAATCGAAAAATTGAGGACGAGGAAACCAAAAAAACGAAAAGTTGAAAAATCGGGAAATCCGGAAATTGAAAAACCGCAAAAGTTGAAATTTGAAAAATCGAGAAATTGAAGTCGCAAATTTCAATTTATCTATTATTTATTTTTCTATTTTTAGGTTTTCAATTTGTACATTTTTGGATTTTTCGGTTTTTTGAAAGACTGAAAAACTATAACATTGAGAAATAGATAAATCGAAAAATTCGGAAATCATGAAATCGACAAAATCGAAAGTTCGAAAAATGAGAAATCGGAAAATTGAAGAATTGAAAAATCTAAAAGTCGAAAAAAGAAAAATCCAAAAATCGATGAACTGAAGAAACTAAAAATCCAAAAATCAAAAAACTGAAAAGACAAAAGATCGAATAATCGAAAAGTCGAGGAACAGAACAATAAAAAATTTGAAAATTCGAGAAATTGAAAGATCTAACAATTGAAAACTCAAAAATGTGTGCAATCCAAAAATTGGGCAATGGAAAAATTTAAAAAACCCAGACAAGGAACATATAATTGGATAATTGAAAAAGTGAAAAATCCGTAAATTGGGAAACGGAAATTAAAAAACCGAAACAATAAATAGGTAATTGAACAATCGAAAAAGTAGATAATCGATAAACTGAAAGTTTGAATAATTGAAAAATCCAGAAATCGAAAAATCGCAAATTTCAGTTTTCGATTTTTCAATTTTTGGTTTTGGTGTTTTTCAATTTGTGAATTTTTGGATTTTTCGAGTTTTGAATGTCTGGATTTTTCGAGTTTTTGAAAGACTGAAAAATATAAAACTGTAAAATCGAAAACTCGACAAATTGAAAAATCCTGAAATCAAGAAATCGAAAGTATGAAAAATAGAAAATCGGAAAGTCGAATAAATTGGAAAATGGAAAAACTTAAAAATCTAAAAATCTGATAAAAGAAAAATCCAGAATTCGGTAAACCGAAGAAACTAAAAATCAAAAAAACTGAAAAGTTAAAGTATCGAATAATCGAAAGATTAAGAAATCAATAGATCGAAAAATCGAGGAACAGAACAATAAAGAAAATGAAAATTCGAGAAATTGAAAAATCAAAAATTTGTACATTCGAAAAATTGAGAAATGGAAAAATTAAAAAATCGAGACAACGAATAGCTAATTCAACAATCGAGAAAGTGAAAAATCCATAGATTAAAAATTTTAATAATTGAAAAAGAGAATATGTCATTGGAAATTAAAATGTTGAAAATTCGAGGACGAGAAAGACAAAAATGAAAAAGTCGAAAAATCTGAAAATCCAGAAATTGAAACACCACAAAAGTTAAATTTTGAAAAATCTAGAAATTGAAAAAGCGCAAATTTCATCTCTCGATTTTTCGACTTAAAAAAAAATGAAATATTGAAAGATTGATAATTCGAGAAACTGAAAATCTAAAAATTGAAAAATCGAAAATTTGAATAGTCAAAAAACTAGGAAGTAGAAAAATTGAGAAACCAAGTCTACGGATTATTCAAGAATCGAAAAAAGGAAAAATCGAAAAATAGAAAAATTACAAAACTAAAAAATTCAAAAGAAAAATCAGCCTGACCTGATCTAACCTGACCTGTCCTGACCCGCCACGACCTGACAAATATCAGATCACCGTTCGGAGTGTGAGGGAAGTACTGTATAAATTCTTTAGACCAATTATTTCCTTCGAATATTTTTTCATTGTTTTTCTTTATTGCTACCTTTTCTTTAGTAAGTCGAACCGAAAGTAAATTTTTGCTTAATTGGGCCCATAACCTGTTCATCTTTCTAATTTTACTTTTACTTTTTTTACTGCAAGAAAATTGTGAACACTGACTTTTACTTCTATATTATTTTACTACTACTATTTCTCGTTAATAGTCTAATTTATCGTTCAGTGTTCACATTCCATTTGTTTTGCGTACACATATCAATTAACCACTTATCTCTCTTCCACTTTATGCCTTCTAAACCTTGAATGTGTTTTTAACATTCAATTACCTTCACACACACTTACTAAATTTTTGCACATTATCTTTTTAACCTGAAAATGTATCAATTAACTTTAAAATATCATCTAATATCTCTTATTTGTTGCCATTAAAATGCCACCACTATCTAATCAACTGAATTATGAATCACAATTTACCCCGTTGTATTCATAAATTCATACTAATTGCGTTGTTTACAAAACCTTTTGAACCGACTTATCACAATCACAACGTTCTTTATCCTCAAAAAATGTTGATAGCGCTGTTATTTTTCACCCTTTTATACCAATCAAAGTGCGCCAAAATTTTAGGCATGTTCCCCATAGCCTCACACAGCCACCAAGTCGTCTACCAACCAGTTTGGCGAGAACTATCCCTAAGAGGCCACCAAGTGACAGTTTTCACCCCCAACCCCCTGAAAAACGCCACCCTGACAAACCTAACCGAAATCGACATGAGCTCAACTTACGACATCTGGAGACAAGACTACATCGGGGAAAAATTAGCCAAAGAGCGCTACATGGCCGCTGCGGAGTACTGGATGATGACCAAAATCGAAGAAATAACTGAAGAGTGTTTCAAAAAGGTACAAACGATGTTCGAGCACACCGATTTTGATTTGGTGATAGTGGAGAGTTTTGACCCTCTGGTTTACAGTTTAGGGTGTAAATTTAGAGTACCTTTTATAACGATTTCTTCTTGTGGGGTGTTTTTGCAAACGCATGACGCTGTGGGAAACCCGACGCATCCTGTCCTAAGTCCCGATTTGTTTGTCAACGTAATGGAAAAATTCGACTTGTTTAAAAAAATCGGTAGCACTGTGCACGACTGGTGGTACCGCGTTTTCTACTATTGGTACTTTTTACCCAGAGCTGATAAAATAGCAAAGCGATATTGGGGACGAGATTGTCCCTATCTTGGTGATCTAGAAAGAAACGTTAGCTTGATTTTAATGAATACTAATTCTCTGTTACATCCAGTACGACCTCTTCTTCCGAATGTAGTCGAAATGGGAAAAATGCACATTACTAGTGAAAAACCTTTACCACGCGTAAGTATAAAACTTTACACTAATTTTACGAAAGTGAAGATCTTCTAGGATCTTCAAGAATATCTAGATATGAGTACCAACGGTGTCGTTTACTTTAGCTTAGGTACTAATGTCAGAAGTGCTAATTTGGATCCGAATGTTATTAAAATTATAAAAGAAGTATTGTCGGAACTACCGTACAACGTTTTGTGGAAATGGGAAAGCGACGATTTTCCAGATAAACCCAAGAACGTGATGACACGAAAATGGCTTCCTCAACAAGATGTCTTGAGGCACAAACATGTTAAAGTTTTTGTTACACAAGGAGGTCTCCAGTCGATGGAGGAAGCTATAAGTAATTGCGTTCCTATGGTAGCATTACCATTTATAGGCGACCAACCTTTAAATGTGATGAAAATGGTACAATTGGGCATTGGGAGAGGGGTTAACCATGTAAGTATGACCAAACAAGAATTGAAAGAAGCTATTGTTGACGTCTCGGAGAATAAAAAGTAGGTTGAAATGTGAAGAGACTTGTTTCTAGTTGTAGATTTATAGGTACAAGGAAAAAATCAAAGAAGTGAGTAATTTAATTTCGGACCAGCCACTAACGGGTTTGGAGAAGACAATATGGTGGATTGAATACGTGTTGAGACACAAAGGCGCTAGACACTTGAGAAGTCCGGCAGCCGATATGCCGTGGTTTGAGTACCACTTGCTGGATGTATATTTGGCGTTATTTTTTGTTGTTTCGTTTTTTGTTTACTTGATTTTGGTCTGTGGGAAGCTACTGTTCAGAATTCTGAGATTTGCGGCCAAAAGAAAACAGAATTAAAATGTTAGCTGTGCTTTCAGTTTTTTACATCAAAATACTAAAAATTTATGACACATTATAGTAATGATAATAAAATTTTCGTTTTCATTTTCTAGTAGTCTTATTATTATTAGTTTAACACCGTCTGTCTTTCCTTTTTTTAGGATTCAGCGCATTGACGTTAGTCACACTGGAGGAACTTATGTTAAAAAAAAAGCTGGAGCCCCAACGATCTTACAGATTCTTTAAAAAAACGCCAGGAGCGTGAATTCAATATATAATTCGAAATTTAAAAAAATTGGTCTAAAGAGTTTAGACAGTACTTCCCTCGCTGTCGGAAACTTGACGACTGCATGCCTATTGTGTTTTTTTCTCATTACATTTTTGCAGTGGGAATTTAAAAAAAATTGCGATGACGTCATCAACATTTTTGCAAGGACACGTATATCAGTTGGGATAGATGTAGTGTAATACTAAGAATAAAATTATTGTATTCCCAAATTTTCGGGAAAATGAATTGGGTCGTTTTGAATATTGATTTTTTATAATCAATAAAATAACGAAACAATTTACTCACGTATACGGCAACTGAAAATCGTTTATGTATAAACATTCTTAATTTAAGATGACAAGCGTAACAGCATACGTGCATGAGAGTCAAACAGAGAAACTGTAGACAAAACGACCATCGGTTTTATTGCTTCGACTTCCGCTTATTATATAAAACATTGGGTTTTATTTTAATTCTTGACGGTGAAATTCACAATTGGTTGATTATAAACATGTCTATTTCACATTCGCGGAACCAAGTGAACGAATAAAACAAATGCAGGTCTGTAATGTTAAAGTCGATGTAAATAAGCGTGCTACCCTTATGTTTCAACCGAGTTTTTCCTTTAACAAATTTTGTGTCTACCAAATTGGGTTGGTTGGGGTGTAATACTAATAATAAGTGTTGCCTTTAATTTAATCAATAAAATAAATTGACTTCATTAATTTTTTTGAACCACCTCTTAAGAAAATCTAAAAAATATGAATGGAATGATAAATCACAAGTACAAACTCATCATATTTTTTGCATTTTAGATAGGATTTATTCAGCAAAATTTAAGGGTGACGTCATCAATTTTTTTAGGAGGGATGAACAAATACATTTTGAACAAAAGTTTACCATGCTTATAATAACTTTAAAATATTCCCAAGATTTCAAAGCATTCGGTTTTGTAATTCCTGATTAAATCGATAAAATAAATTCACGCCTTCATTAATTTTTTTGAGTCACCCTGCATATGCAAATCCAAAAATATGAATGGAATGATAAATCACAAGTACAGACTCATCATATTTTGTACATTTTAGATACGATTTATTCGGCAAACTTTTGAGCTGACGTCATCAGTTTTTTGTAGAAGATAACCAAATATATTTTGACTAAAAATTTATTATGCTCTTTATAACCTTAAAACATCTGCAAGATTTCAAAGCATTCGGTTTTGTAGTTCCTGATTAAATCAATAAAATAAATTTACGCATTCATTAATTTTTTTGAGTCACCCTGTATATGCAAATCGAAAAAACTTGAATGGAATGATAAATCACAAGAAGAGACTCACCATATTTTGTACATTTTAGATAGGATTTATTCAGCAAAATTTTGTGGTGACGTCATAAATACGTTTTGATCAAAAATTTACCATGCTTATGATAATTTTAAAATATCTTCAAGATTTCGAAGCATTCGGTTTTGTAGTTCCTGAGTAAATCAGTAAAATAAATTTAGGCTTTCATTTATTTTCTTGAATCACCCTGTATATGCAAATCCAAAAAATATGAATGGAGTGATAGATCACAAGTACAGACTGATCATATTTTGTACATTTTAGATATGATTTATTCGGCAAATTTTCGAGCTGACGTCATCAAGTTTTTGGAGGGGATAAGCAAATATATTTTGACTAAACATTTATTATGCTCTTTATAACCTTAAAACATCTGTAAGATGTCAGAGCATTCCGTTTTCTAGTTCCTGATTAAATCAATAAAATATATTTACGCATTCATTAATTTTTTTGAGTCACTCTGTATATGCAAATCAAAAAAATATGAATGGAGTGATAAATGACAAGTACAGACTCATCATATTTTGTACATTTTAGATATGATTTATTCGGCAAACTTTCGAGCTGACGTCATCAAGTTTTTGGAGGGGATAAGCAAATATATTTTGACTAAACATTTATTATGCTCTTTATGACCTTAAAACATCTGCAAGATTTCAGAGCATTCGGTTTTGTAGTTCCTGATTAAATCAATAAAATATATTTACGCATTCATTAATTTTTTTGAGTCACCCTGTATATGCAAATCCAAAAAATATGAATGGAGTGATAAATTACAAGTACAGACTCATCATATTTTTACAGTTTGGATAGGATTCATTCGGCAAACTTTCGAGCTGACGTCATCAATTTTTTGGAGGGGATAAGCAAATATATTTTGACTAAACATTTATTATGCTCTTTATAACCTTAAAACATCTGCAAGATTTCAACGCATTCGGTTTTGTAGTTTCTGAGTAAATCAGTAAAATAAATTTACGCATTCATTAATTTTTTTGAGTCACCCTGTATATGCAAATCCAAAAAATATGAATGGAGTGATAGATCACAAGTACAGACTCATCATATTTTGTACATTTTAGATATGATTTATTCCACAAACTTTTGAGCTGACGTCATCAAGTTTTTGGAGGGGATAAGCAAATATTTTTTGACTAAAGATTTATGATGCTCTTTATAGCCTTAAAACATCTGTAACATTTCAAAGCATTCTGGTTAGCAGATTAAAAATTAAATTTCAAAATGTTGTTTTATAATTTTGATTTTTTTTCCAAAAATCTGGGCGTTTCGGGTGAAAAGTCGATTCAGAGTTGTAAACTACATGTGTAGGACTATGTTATTTTATACAATTGAAAACCCATTTACTATGTACAATTTTGAAGTGACGTCATCGCTTTAGTGGTGGGGATGATTCGACAAATTTTGGTTAGCGTTTTACCATCTACATGATATTCTTAATATAAGTACAAAATTTCACAACAATCGGTCGAGTACTTTCGGAGATTATCTGTCTAATAAAAATCCGGGACAACAGACGGACAGACGGACAGACGGACGGACAGACGGACAGACGGACGGACAGACGGACAGACGGACAGACGGACGGACAGACGGACAGACGGACAGACAGACGGAAATGGGAGACCTATTTCTTCGTCTTCTAGGGGTCATGAAAGATCGAGAAAACGTAAAAGTAGAGAGTCGGCCGACGGACTCGATTACAATACTTCCTTTGCTTACGCTCGGGAAGTAAAAATCCTAAAAATTGCAATATTCATTGGTCGATTTGGGAAAAACGGTAGTAGTTTTCGAAAACATGAGACCGAAAGTAACACTGGAGATCGAAATGTACAGAAAAATCTCTTCAGATAATTTTTGGAAGGTGATCGAAAAAAGTTACAAATTTTCATTAGGGGGAGGGAGTATTGAAGAATCGAGCAATTCAAAAAGTTGGATAAAAATTAACAGATATAAGTCTCGATGTGCTGATTTTAACTAGATATCGGTTCGAAATTCAAACTGATTTTTTTTTCTTAAAAATTGCTATATGTATTTTATTGAGAGATTCTGCAAAAATTGTAGAATTTTTCGAAGGAACGAGGCTAAAAATAAGTTCTAGAGGTCGAAGTCAACAAAAAAACCTCTGTAGGTGATTTTCGAAGGTAGTCGAAAAAAGATCGAAATTTTAAAAAATTGAGCTTTTGAGAAATTGTCTAAAAAAACACAAAAAATTCACAGATATAAATCTCGTCTGAAGCAAGATTTTAGATATACATATTCGGATCGATTTTTTTTTTTAATCTTAAAAATTGCCATTATTTTTTGACAGATTTTATAAAAATATGTAGGGTTTTTTGGATAAATGAAACCAAAAATAACTTCTAGAGGTCAAAGTCTACAAAAAATCTCTAGGTAATTTTCGAAGGTAATTGAAAAAAGATCCAAATTTTGAAAAGAGGGACGTATGAAAAATTGAAGTTTTGAGAAATTGACTAAAATTCAACAAAAAATTCACAGATATAAATCTCGACATTCTAATTAAAAAAAAACTGTTTATGGTCCTGAAGCAAAATTTTAGCTATACATTTTTTTTTATCTTAAAAATTGACATAATTTATTGACATATTTTGCAAAAATTACAGGGTTTTTTGAAGAAATGAGGCAAAAATAACTTGTAGAGGTCGAAGTCTACGAAAACATATTTTCAGTTAATTTTCGAAGGTGGTAAAAAAAAAAACAAATTTTTAAAAAGGGAATGTATGAAAAATTGGTCTTTTGAGAAACTGACGGAAAATCCACAAAAAATTCACAAATATAAATCTCGACGTACTAATTCGAAAAATATAACGTGTTTATTGTCCTGAAGCAAGATTTTAGATATACATATTCGGATCGATTTTTTTTTTTAGTCTTAAAAATTGCCATTAATTCTTGACAGATTTTATAACAATATGTAGGGTTTTTTGGATAAATGAAACCAAAAATAACTTCTAGAGGTCAAAGTCTACAAAAAATCTCTAGGTAATTTTCGAAGGTAATTGAAAAAATTGGTCTAAAGAGTTTAGACAGTACTTCCCTCGCTGTCGGAAACGTGACGACTGCATGCCTATTATGTTTTTTTTTCGCGGTGGATTTCAAAGAATTCGGTTTTGTAGTTCCTGATTAAATCAATAAAATATATTTACGCATTCATTAATTTTTTTGAGTCACTCTGTATATGCAAATCCAAAAAATATAAATGGAGTGATAAATGACAAGTACAGACTCATCATATTTTGTACATTTTAGATATGATTTATTCGGCAAACTTTCGAGCTGACGTCATCAAGTTTTTGGAGGGGATAAGCAAATATATTTTGACTAGACATTTATTATGCTCTTTATGACCTTAAAACATCTGCAAGATTTCAGAGCATTCGGTTTTGTAGTTCCTGATTAAATCAATAAAATATATTTACGCATTCATTAATTTTTTTGAGTCACCCTGTATATGCAAATCCAAAAAATATGAATGGAGTGATAAATTACAAGTACAGACTCATCATATTTTTACAGTTTAGATAGGATTTATTCGGCAAACTTTCGAGCTGACGTCATCAATTTTTTGGAGGGGATAAGCAAATATATTTTGACTAAACATTTATTATGCTCTTTAGAACCTTAAAACATCTGCAAGATTTCAAAGCATTCGGTTTTGTAGTTTCTGAGTAAATCAGTAAAATAAATTTACGCATTCATTAATTTTTTTGAGTCACCCTGTATATGCAAATCCAAAAAATATGAATGGAGTGATAGATCACAAGTACAGACTCATCATATTTTGTACATTTTAGATATGATTTATTCCACAAACTTTTGAGCTGACGTCATCAAGTTTTTGGAGGGGGTAAGCAAATATTTTTTGACTAAAGATTTATGATGCTCTTTATAGCCTTAAAACATCTGCAACATTTCAAAGCATTCTGGTTAGCAGATTAAAAATTAAATTTCAAAATGTTGTTTTATAATTTTGATTTTTTTTCCAAAAATCTGGACGTTTCGGGTGAAAAGTCGATTCGGAGTTGTAAACTACATGTGTAGGACTATGTTATTTTATACAATTGAAAACCCATTTACTATGTACAATTTTGAAGTGACGTCATCGCATTAGTGGTGGGGATGATTAGACAAATTTTGGTTAGCGTTTTACCATCTACATGATATTCTTAATATAAGTACAAAATTTCACAACAATCGGTCGAGTACTTTCGGAGATTATCTGTCTAATAAAAATCCGGGACAACAGACGGACAGACGGACGGACAGACGGACGGACAGACGGACAGACGGACGGACAGACGGACAGACGGACAGACGGACAGACAGACGGAAATGGGAGACCTATTTCTTCGTCTTCTAGGGGTCATGAAAGATCGAGAAAATGTAAAAGTAGAGAGTCGGCCGACGGACTCGATTACAATACTTCCTTTGCTTACGCTCGGGAAGTAAAAAGATACAAATTTTGAAAAGAGGGACGTATGAAAAATTGAAGTTTTGAGAAATTGACTAAAATTCAACAAAAAATTCACAGATATAAATCTCGACATTCTAATTAAAAAAAAAAACTGTTTATGGTCCTGAAGCAAGATTTTAGCTATACATTTTTTTTTATCTAAAAAACTGACATAATTTATTGACAGATTTTGCAAAAATTGTATGGTTTTTTCAAGAAATGAGGCAAAAAATAGCTTCTAGAGGTCGAAGTCTACAAAAAAATATTTTCATGTAATTTTCGAAGGTGGTCAAAAAAGACCCAAATGTTTAAAAAGGGGATGTATGAAAAATTGGGCTTTTGAAAAACTGACGGAAAATCCACAAAAAATTCACAAATATAAATCTCGACGTACTAATTCGAAAAATATAACGTGTTTATTGTCCTGAAGCAAGATTTTAGATATACATATTCGGATCGATTTTTTTTTTATTCTTAAAAATTACCATAATTTTTTGAAAGATTTAAAAAAAAATTTACGATTTTTTGGATAAATGAAACCAAAAATAACTTCTAGAGGTCAAAGTCTACAAAAAATCTCTAGGTAATTTTCGAAGGTAATTGAAAAAAGATCCAAATTTTGAAAAGAGGGACGTATGAAAAATTGAAGTTTTGAGAAATTGACTAAAATTCAACAAAAAATTCACAGATATAAATCTCGACATTCTAATTAAAAAAAAAAAAAAACTGTTTATGGTCCTGAAGCAAAATTTTGGCCATACATTTTTTTTTATCTTAAAAATTGGCATAATTTATTGACAGATTTTGCAAAAATTATAGGGTTTTTTGAAGAAATGAGGCAAAAATAACTTCTAGAGGTTGTCCACAAAAAATTCACAGATATAAATCTCGACGTTCTAATTCGAAAAAAAAAACATGTTTATAGTCCTGAAGCAAGATTTTAGGTATAGATATCCGGTTTGAAATTCATTTTTTTTTATCTTAAAAATTGACATAATTTATTGACAGATTTTGCAAAAATTGTATGTTTTTTTCAAGAAATGAGGCAAAAAATAACTTCTAGAGGTCGAGGTCTACAAAAAAATATTTTCAAGTAATTTTCGAAGGTGGTCAAAAAAAGATCCAAATGTTTAAAAAGGGGATGTATGAAAAATTGGGCTTTTGAGAAACTGACGGAAAATCCACAAAAAATTCACAGATATAAATCTCGACGCACTAATTCGAAAAATATAACGTGTTTATTGTCCTGAAGCAATATTTTAGATATACATATTCGGATCGGATTTTTTTTAATCTTAAAAATTGACATAATTTATTCACAGATTTTGCAAAAATTGTAGGATATTTTGGATAAATGGAACCAAAAATAATTTCTATAGGTCAAAGTCTACAAAAAATCTCTAGGTAATTTTCGAAGGTAATTGAAAAAAGATCCAAATTTTGAAAAGAGGGACGTATGAAAAATTGAAGTTTTGAGAAATTGACTAAAATTCAACAAAAAATTCACAGTTATAAATCTCGACATTCTAATTAAAAAAAAAACTGTTTATGGTCCTGAAGCAAAATTTTAGCTATACATTTTTTTTTATCTTAAAAATTGACATAATTTATTGACATGTTTTGCAAAAATTACAGGGTTTTTTGAAGAAATGAGGCAAAAATAACTTGTAGAGGTCGAAGTCTACAAAAACATATTTTCAGTTAATTTTCGAAGGTGGCAAAAAAAAACCAAATTTTTAAAAAGGGAATGTATGAAAAATTGGTCTTTTGAGAAACTGACGGAAAATCCACAAAAAATTCACAAATATAAATCTCGACGTACTAATTCGAAAAATATAACGTGTTTATTGTCCTGAAGCAAGATTTTAGATATACATATTCGGATCGATTTTTTTTTTTGTCTTAAAAATTGCCATTATTTCTTGACAGATTTTATAAAAATATGTAGGGTTTTTTGGATAAATGAAACCAAAAATAACTTCTAGAGGTCAAAGTCTACAAACAATCTCTAGGTAATTTTCGAAGGTAATTGAAAAAAGATCCAAATTTTGAAAAGAGGGACGTATGAAAAATTGAGATTTTGAGAAATTGACTAAAATTTAACAAAAAATTCACATATATAAATGTCGACGTGCTAATTCTAAAAATATAACGTGTTTATGATTCTAATAAAGCAAGATTTTTAATATTATCAAGTATTTTTAGTTACGCCACTGTACCAAAGCAAGAATCAATTTTTTTAATTGTCGAAGAAATGGGGTAGAAAATAAGTTCTGGAGATCTAAAAAAACGAGGTTGTCTAAAATTCCACAAAGAATTCAGAGATCGACGCGCTGATAAGAAATACAGCGGAACATATATTTTGTCTCAAGCCAAAATTCCCCGACTCCGCCTCTCTACATTAATGCAGGAGCGTCAAAATGTTATCGATTATTTTACACACACTTTTAATAAATCCCTCAAGTGCCACTTTTATCAAAAAGAAAAACACAAATGACTATCAACTTGAAATATACACTCTTTATTAGTAATTTATGTCACCAATCTACTAAACTCGATTAAAGCAGTCTATAAATACTTGGCCGATCGAAGACAACTTGAGTTACAATGTTAGTAGTTACTTTAACACTTTTCGCCCTTCTTCGCCACTCCCAAAGTGCTAAGATCCTGGGAATGTTTTTTATCCCGGCACATAGCCACCAAGTCATGTACCAACCCATATGGAGAGAATTGTCTTTAAGAGGCCACCAGGTTACAGTTTTCACACCCAACCCTCTCCGAAATTCCAGTTTAACAAATTTAAGAGAAATCGATACAAGTTTGACTTATGATATCCTGAGGCGAGAATACATCGGGGATAAAATGGCTAAAGATATTTATTTAATTGACTCGATGTTGTGGCTTGAAAAGGTCTCCGAGGAAATACTAGAGGAGAACTTCAAAATAGCAAAAAGAACTTTCACTGAACTGGAAAGCGACTTCGATTTGGTACTAGTGGAAACGTTCCATTCTCTGGTGTATGGTTTGGGGTGTAGATTTAAAGTACCGATTATTGGGGTACACTCTTTAGGGTTATTCCTGCACACACAAGATGCTGTTGGAAACCCAACACACCCCGTCTTAAATCCTGATATATTTTTTAATATTATGGGGGGGTTTAATATGTATGCAAAAATTCGTAGTGTGATGTACAACTTGTGGTACCGTTTAGTCTACTACTGGTACGTCATACCAAAGAATGACAGAGTGTCGAAGAAATATTGGGGCGAAGATTGTCCTTACATCCGTGATTTAGAAAAAAATGTCAGTTTAATCTTAGTCAACACGAATCCTATTCTACATCTGGTACGACCTCAAGTTCCTCAAGTAATAGAAGTAGGACAAATGCACATTGCCCCAAAAACTGTTCTACCACGAGTAAGTACCCAATGATCGTTGTCGTCAAAACTAAAAACTTCTTCAGGACATTCAAGACTACCTAGATGCGAGTACCCAAGGTGTTGTTTACTTCAACTTAGGCAGCAATGTTAGAAGTGCCAGTTTTAAAATTAGCGCCCGAAAAATTATAATCGAAGCATTGTCCGAACTACCATACAACGTTTTATGGAAGTGGGAAGACGACCATTTTCCAGATAAACCCAAAAATGTGGTAACACGAAAATGGCTTCCTCAGCAAGACATCTTAGGACACAGAAACGTCAAAGTTTTTATTACCCAAGGGGGTCTTCAGTCGTTGGAAGAATCCATAACTAACTGCGTACCCATGGTGGGAATGCCCGTTTTCGCAGACCAACCGCTAAATGTGTACAAAATGGTACAACTGGGGATTGGCAGAAGCGTTGATCATATGACTATGACTAAGGAGGAACTGAAAGAAGCCATACGAGACGTAGCCGAAAATAAGAAGTAAGTTAACTATGGAAAAGTGGCGTTTTTACTTCCCTGGCATCCATGTTTTTCCTAGGTACAGAGAAAAAATTTATAAACTGAAGGACTTATTTTCGGACCAACCCATGTCAGGTGTGGACAAGTCGGTCTGGTGGATTGAGTACGTGTTAAGACATGGAGGTGCTAAACATTTGAGAAGTACAGCGGTCGATATGTCGTGGTTTGAGTACTACTTATTGGACGTATTCTTAGTATTATTTTTTGTTGCTTTCGTTTCCGTCTACTTGATTTCGGTATGTGTAAAGCTGAGTTTTAGTACTCTCAGGTTTAAGCATAAAACAAAACTCAATTGACATGATGGGAATTATAAGAGACAATTAACACCTATATATTAAAATGTGACGAATTTTTTTTATTACTTCTTTTTTGAATTGTGGGCCCTGTTGTACAAAAGTAAAATAATCATTAGTCTTGTAACTTTCGTTGTGTATTTTGGTAATTAATAATATGGAATTATTTAAAACCGTTATCCTCCCTGTTTCTACGCCTCTGGTGAAAATAATCCAGCAGACAAATATTGATATAGGCAACCAACTTTACACCAGGTTATTTAAAAAATAAAAAAATGTATGCATAGAAAAATACACAAATTTATACAATTCAAACCAAGAAAGATTATATGTACTTTCCATGGTAAATTAATCCAAAGCCCCATTTCGAAACGTCCCCATCTGGGGACTTTTCGTTTTCCCCCACCCCCTAAATGACAACACAGATCAGCTGTTGTTTGACACAATGCCATTCTGACACTAAAACGAAAACAAACTTTGAAATGTAGTGCTTCTCAAAACCCACGCCAGTCAAGACATCTTCACCACAAAATCCATGAACACAACACTCTCCAGCCATGGACGGAATGTTTGAAATGTATTTAGAAGGGAGCATCGAACCAGACGACATCCCCAACACGAGAGAACCAGTCTACATCCTAGGCAAGAAGTACAACGCTGTCCAAGGTAAATCCAAACGCTGTGTTTATCCCAGATCCAAGCTGAATCTCTGTCCAGAACTGGACATCATCCGCCAGGATATCCTCTCGAAAGTCTGGTTTACATATCGGAAGAACTTTGTTCCCATCGGAGGAGACGAAGGCCTCACGACGGACAAAGGATGGGGCTGCATGCTGCGATGCGGCCAGATGGTGCTGGCGCAGGCTCTCATCAGCTTGCATTTGGGTAAGTGGGGTAGCTGGATTTAGTTCGAGTAGCTAGATAAAAACGAAAATAAAGAAAGATGTGTGGCTTGCATGGTTGATATTTTTAGATAAGTGCGATTAATTAGTTTGTATTGAGGCGACTAATTAAAAAAATGACGTAAGGACGTTCAAAATACTTTTCAAAAAATATGGTATGAAAGTGTAAATTAATGCCAGTTTTTATTATCGTGTTCCTAAAATAAATAATGCCAGCCAAGTCATAAAAATGCGAGCTGGGATGTTTGAGAAAATTATTATGTCTCCAAAATTTATTCTGAACCTGCCGTAAACACCACGGTCCGGATAATTACTTCCAAGAAAGATTTGGTTTAATGTTTGCAAGACCTTCATTACCCTGAACAAATTTGTTCAAGTAGATGGAATACAATAGGCGGATTTGAACATTTTCAAACAGTTCTCTGTTTATAAAAACAGGAATTATTTTTCTAACGTACAAAAATCCATAAGTTTGTTAAAGGTGAAGTGATTACATTTTTACATATGAATAAGTTTTCGATCGTTTGTGGGCGATTTCATATCATCCCCACCAATAATTTGATTACGTCATCTCAAAATTCTGCAACGTAAATCCTACTTACATTTTAAAAAATAACAGTCCGTGTGGTTTATTAGTCTGCCTTTGTTTTTTTACCTTTGACATCTAGGGTATTTGGAAAAAAAAGTACAAATTGTAAAACACCACTTTATAATTTATGTAAAAAACTATAGAACCGACTGCTCTGATGTCTTGCAAATATTTTGAGTTATCGTAGATATAGTAAATCGATATTCAAATGTGTTCCTTTGTTGTGTCATTTTGTCGCCTTAGTTTTTCTCATTTTTTGTGATCTTTGATTCCCTTTTTTGTTGCGTGGTTTGATGGGTTTTTGTAACCTTTTTTCATTGTATTTTTATTTCCGTTTTATCGCGTTTTTACTCTTTTTTACACGTTTTTTTCTTAAAATGAAGTTTTTGTTCAATATGTTTTTTTTTATTATTATTGTCAAGCCAAATCGCGATAAACCATGTATAAAAAAAATCCCTTTTTGTCGCTTTTTTTGTTTTTTTTTTTGTTGACGCCTTTTTTCGCATTAGTGGTGCCATTTTTTGTTACTTTTAATGGCATTTTTGTGTTATTTTTTTTGTCGCATGTTTTTGTCACTTTTTATGATCTCTTCTGACGTTTTTTTTTTTCATATTTTTAGCCTCTTTTAATAGTTTTTTTGTACCCTTTTTTGTCGCATTTTTAATCTCTTTTTTGTTTCTCCTTTTTTGCATTTTTTTGTAATTTATAAGCCTTTTTGGGATTTGTCTAATTTTCGAATTTTAGACTTTTTGATTTTCCAGTTCTTTGGTTTCCGACTTTTAGATATTCGAATTTTCAATCCTTTCACTTTTCGATTTCTCAATTTTTCCATTTGTCGATTTTCGAATTTTTGATTTTCCATTATTCGCATTTTCAATTTTTTGATTTCTTGAGTTTCCGATGTTCCGAATTTTCAATATTCAAATTGTTAATCTATTTTTCCATTTTTCGATTTTTCAATTTTCCAAATTTTATATTTTTCGATATTAAAATTTTCAATATTTTTATTTTTTGAATTTACAATTTTTTACTTTTTGGTTTTTAGAGTTTTCAGTTTTTTACTCTTTGGTTTTTTGATTTTTCAATTTTTTTACTTTTGATTTTTTGATGTCCCAAGTTTCCAATATTTGGATTTTTCGAAATTTCGACCTTCCGATTTTGCTAATTTTCGATTTATCAAATTTTAAATTTTTTGGTTTTAGATTTAGATTTCTCGAGTTTTCGAGTTTTTGATTTTTCGATTTTTCCATTCTTCAGTTTTTAGACTTCAATTTTTTAAATTTAGATTTTTCGATTTCGCAATTTTTCGATATTCGAATTTACAGTTTTTTACTTTTCGATTTTTCAGTATTTCTATTTTCTAGTTTTTGATTTTCGATTTTTCGTTATTCGAATTTCCAATTTTTTACTTTTCGGTTATCAGAGTTTTCAATTTTTCATTCTTCCGTTTTTTTGGTTTTTAAAATTTTTCCCTTTTTGTCCAAGTTTGTAATATTTCCAATTTTCGATTTTTCAATTATTCAATTTTTCGATCGACTTTCCGATTTTGCCAATTTTCGATTTGTCGAATTTTAGATTTTTTGGTTTTAGATTTCTCGAGTTTTCGATTTTTTGATTTTTGGTTTTCCGAATTTTTTTTATTTGTTAGTTTTTCCATTATTCAATTTTTAGACTTCATTTTTTTAAATTTCGATATTCGAATTTTCAGTTTTTTACTTTCGATTTTTCAATTCATTCTCCAGTTTTTCAATTTTTAATTTTTTTAGTTTTTGATTTTTTTTTGATTTCTCGAGTTTTGATTTTTCGAATTTTCAATTTTTTTACTTTTCGGTTTTTCGATTTTTCAAATTTTCCATTTGTCAGTTCTTTAATAATCTTTTTTTACTTTTCGATTTTTTGATTTCTCGAGTTTCCGATATCGAAATATTGGAAACTCGAAAAAATTCCGATATTCGAGTTGTTGATCTTATTTTTCGGTTTTCGATATTCGAATTTTCTATATTTTTATTTTTCGATTTCTGGATTTTTCGATTTTTCATTTTACGAATTTACGATTTTTCTATATTCGAATTTCCAATTTTTTACTTTCCGGTTTTTAGTTTTCATTTTTCATTCTTCAGTTTTTCGATTTTTCATTTTTTTTACTTCTGATTTTTTGATCGTCTCGAGTTTCCGATATTTGGAATTTTCAATTTTACGATTTTTGACTTTCCTATTTTGCTAATTTTCGATTTGTCGACTTTTAGATGTTTTGGTTTTAGATTTCTCGAGTTTCCGATTTTTTGATTTTTCGATTATTCCATTCTTCAGTTTTTCGATTTAAAATTTTTTTACTTTTTGATATTTTGAAATCTCGAATTTTCTAATTTTCGGTTTTTCGATTTTTCAAATTTTCCATGCTTTGGTTTTTCAATTTTTTACTTTGCGATTTTGTTATTTCTCGAGTTTCCGATATTTTGAATTTTCTATATTCGAATTGTTTTTTTATTATTATTCCGTGTTCCATATTCGAATTTTCAATATTTTTCATTTTTCGATTTCTGAATTTTTCGATTTTACATTTTTCGAATTTACGATTTTTCGATATTTGAATTTCAATTTTTTTAGTTTTCGGTTTTTCAATTTTTCAAATTTTCCATTCTCCAGTTTTTCGATTTTTCAATTTTTTTGGTTTTCCATTTTTTGATTTCTCGATCTTCCGAATTTTCGACTTTTCTTTATTCGAATTTTCAATCGTTTTACTTTTTGATTTCTCGATTTTTCACTTTTTGGATTTTCAATTTCTCAATTTTCTATTTTTCTATTGTACAGTGTTTAGACTTTTTACTTATCGATTTCAATCTTTTTACCTTTCGATTTCTCGATTTTTCACTTTTTCGATTTTGGAATTTTTGATTTTTCAAAATTCGAATTATCAACTTTTTACTTTTGGATTTTTAAATTTTTTTACTTTGCGATTTTTCGATTTGTCGAGTTTCCCATATTTCGAATTTTCAATATTTTTAATATTCGATTTCTGGATTTTTCAATTTTTTAAGTTTTCCATTTTTCATTTTTCGAATTTACGATTTTTCAATATTCGAATTTTTACTTTTCGGTTTTAGAGTTTTCAATTTTTCATTCTTTAGTTTTTTGGGTTTTCAATTTTTTTACTTTTGATTTTTTGATTGTCTCGAGTTTCGGATATTTCGATTTTTCAAATTTTCCATTCTTCTGTTTTTGGACTTCAATTTTTTAAATTTCGATTTCTCCATTTCCCAATTTTTCAATATTTGCATTCTTCAGTTTTTGATTTTTAATTTTTATACTTTTTGATATTTTGAGATCGCCAGTTTCGATGTTTCGTATTTCGAATTTTCGATCTTCAAATATAATTTCTTTTACTTTCCGGTTTTTCGATTTTTCAAATTTTCCATTCTTCAGTTTTTCAATTTTTCAATTTTTTTAGTTTTCGATTTTTTGAATTCTCGAGTTTCTGAATTTTCAATTTTTCGATTGCTCAGTGTTTAGACTTTTTATTTATCGATTTCAGTCTTTTTACTTTTCGAATTTTCAATTTTTTACTCTTGGATTTTTCATTTTTTTTACTTTGCGATTTTTTAATTTCTGGAGTTTCCGATATTTCGAATTTTCCATATTTGAACTGATCTTTTCATTTTTCGGTTTCCGATATTCGAATTTTCAATATTTTTAATTTTCGATTTTTGGATTTTTCAAATTTTTCGATTTTTCATTTTTCGAATTTACGATTTTTCAATATTCGAATTTCCAATTTTTTACTTTTCGGTTTTATAGTTTTCAATTTTTCATTCTTCAGTTTTTTGGTTTTTCATTTATTTTTTACTTTTGATTTTTTGATTGTCTCGAGTTTCGGATATTTCGATTTTTCAAATTTTCCGTTCTTCTGTTTTTGGACTTCATTTTTTTAAATTTCGATTTCTCCATTTCCCAATTTTTCAATATTTGCATTCTTCAGTTTTTGATTTTTAATTTTTATACTTTTTGATATTTTGAGATCGCCAGTTTCGATTTTTCGTATTTCGAATTTTCGATATTCAAATATAATTTCTTTTACTTTCCGGTTTTTCGATTTTTCAAATTTTCCATTCTTCAGTTTTTCGATTTTTCAATTTTTTTAGTTTTCGATTTTTTGAATTCTCGAGTTTCTGAATTTTCAATTTTTCGATTGCTCAGTGTTTAGACTTTTTACTTTTCGAATTTTCAATTTTTTACTCTTGGATTTTTCATTTTTTTTACTTTGCGATTTTTTAATTTCTGGAGTTTCCGATATTTCGAATTTTCTATATTTGAATTGATCTTTTCATTTTTCGGTTTCCGATATTCGAATTTTCAATATTTTTAATTTTCGATTTTTGGATTTTTCAAATTTTTCGATTTTTCATTTTTCGAATTTACGATTTTTCAATATTCGAATTTCCAATTTTTTACTTTTCGGTTTTATAGTTTTCAATTTTTCATTCTTCAGTTTTTTGGTTTTTCATTTATTTTTTACTTTTGATTTTTTGATTGTCTCGAGTTTCGGATATTTCGAATTTTCAATTTATTGACTTTCCGATTTTGCTAATTTTCGATTTGTCGAATTTTAGGTTGTAGATTTCTCGAGTTTCCGATTTTTTGAATTTAGATTTCTCGATTTCTCAATTTTTCGATATTCGAATTTTCAGTTTGTTACTTTTTGATTTTCAATTTTTCTACTTTTCGGATGATTTTTCAATGTTTTCGATTTTTTGACATTCCGATTATTCGAATTGGAGATTTTTAGACTTTTGATTTTCTTTGATTATACCTCAAGGGCGAGAGAATAAATAATTTCTGTCTAAATAAGTTTGGACCAATTTTGTTTTAAGAGTTTCTTCTTAATTATTAACAAGATAAATCTCGAAAGATGATAAAAAATACTATACCTATAAAATACACGGTGTCCCTTTTAAAAAACACGAGAAAACCGACGATTAGCATATTAAATTATCCTGTATAAATACGTTCGTTATTGACGGAATTCCAGATCCAAAAATTAGGGAACATTGTCTCTTATTATACAGAGTGTTCATAAATAAATTTCATACATGACAATGTTAATAATCCCGGCTTCAGCTAAAAAATCAGTCAATGTTTAACATTTATAGAAATATCAGCTTTGATTGGTCGGCCCAGTGACAGTTTTGGGCACACATTCGTCGCGCAGACGCAGCCACCTTGACTCAATTACAAATAGTAAAACGTATAGTTTTCCGAAAAAGCTTCCACTATAACTAATGTTGTAGGTAGGGACTGGATGTGGGAACCCGAAACCAAAGACTCCACGTACCTCAAGATCCTGGGAAAATTCATGGATAAGAGACAAGCGCCATTTTCCATCCATCAGATCGCCATGATGGGTGTGTCGGAAAACAAGGAAGTGGGACAGTGGTTCGGCCCCAACACGGTGGCTCAAGTTTTGAAGTAAAATGAATCACAGTTGATGGGAAAAATTTTAAATTAAATATGTATTATTTTTTTTAGGAAGCTAGTGAAGTATGACGAGTGGAGCTCGCTTGCTATTCATATAGCATTAGATAACGCACTCGTCGTCAGTGATATAAGTAAGAGGTGAGTTGAAGTGGTGATTGTTTTGATTGGCTGATTGTTGTAGGAGAAATGTGCTTAAGTTGCGAGAGTCCGGAGGGGAGTGGGAGTCTGAAGTGCGAAAAAGGGGATTGGAAGCCGTTGTTACTTATAGTGCCTTTGAGATTGGGGCTTCAAGATATTAATCCTATTTATGTTAGTGGACTTAAAGTAAGTCGACTTAGTTTTTTTATGGGGAAGGTGAATTAAATAATGTTTTTAAATTTTCCAGAAATGTTTCCAATTCAAACAAAGCCTCGGAGTGATCGGTGGCAAACCAAACCTGGCTTTGTACTTCATAGGCTGCGTCGGCGACGAAGTAATCTACTTAGACCCCCACACCACCCAAAAATCAGGTTCGGTCGAGAACAAAGAAACTGAAGAAGAAATCGAACTCGACTGCACTTATCACTGTAAATACGCTTCTAGAATAAACATACTAAGCATGGATCCTTCAGTAGCAGTGGTAAATCGTGACTTTTTTACTAAAAAACAGATATTGACCATCTCGTTTCAGTGCTTCTTCTGCAGCACCGAATCCGACTTCAACGACTTATGCCACTCAATCAAAAGAGATCTAATCGAACCCGAGAAACAGCCGCTCTTCGAAATCGCTTATGAAAAACCGAAACAGTGGACGCCGACGCTCGACGACGCGGTGGAAGCCGCCGATTTCGAGCTCACGGGCGACTTCGACTCGGAGCACGAATTCGAAATATTGTAATTTTTATGTCTTATTAAGTAGGTTTGAATATTTGCCTTATTTTTTTATCGTCGTGAATGCAGCTGAGTATGGGTTCCGTGATGACAGCAGCGTTTTTTTATGTATATACTTATGCATCGTATTTGTGTGTTTTGTACATACGGCATTTAAGGAGAGGATCTGGATTGTGCGCGGCGCCGTCTGCCCGGTCGACGTGTACCTAGTGACAGTTGGGGTGCCAAAGACACGTTGCGGGGAGGCGGCGGCCGAGGAGATTTGTACATATGAGCATGCGATTCAGTTCCTTGTAAAGCTTATTACTAAATTTGTTATATTTTTCACAATTATTAAAAGACATGTTCGTGAGCGTTGAGTTCTTTCAAGCGACCTCTACACCAAGCTGACATAAAATAATGAAGAAGAGTAACTAATTGAATAATATCTACAACGCTTCTTGTGGTTCAGGAGTGTTCATCCTAGTTTTAGTTTGTGCTCAAAATTTTGAATACCTACATGGATCAAGAGACAAAAGGAAACTGTATATTTTTACAGCTGTTTGAATAATATCCAAAAGGTCACCGTCCTCAGGTCAAAAATAAACTAATAAAGTGTACCTAATTAAAGACAAATGACGAATTCTGTATTTATAGGTAAAAATGTTTAAACAATCTAGAATCGTCATTTAAATGGAATGAATTACGAATATCATATAGATGATCAAAATTTAGATAATCATCCCTACCAACAATTTGTTGACGTCATCTCCAAAATTTACTGTAATAAGTAGCTATTATTTACATTTTATAAAATAAGATATTCCTGCACGTGTAGTTTATGAACCCCTGTTGAGTTTTTATCCTAGACATCCAGATTTTTGGAGAAAAAATCAAAATTACAACATCTTGCAAAATGTATCGAAATATTGCAAACGTTCTACGGTTATAAGATTTTTGGAAAAAAAATCAACATTGTTTAACAATATTTTATAATGTAACTTTGAAGTTGCAAAAACCGAAAGTTGCAAAATCGTGCAAATATTCTACTATTATTTGAAACATGGTAAATCGTTGGTTAAAATTTGTCCGTCATCTTACATTTTTGCCGAATTTTTTAAAATTCCTGAGAGTTTTGGGGACAAAACTTAGTACTTTGATGTTTGTGCTAGTAGTCGAATTCGGTCGAGGTATAAACATAAACAGTCGAAGTTAAGCATATTCTAAGAAACTGAAATTGTCAATATTTTTTCCCGTTAGTTATCTATATTTCATATTTAAAGATGTAGGGGTTGCGGGGATGTTAATTACGCCACTTTATAGAGGCTGATAATTATCACAAAGCGAAAATCGCAGAATCTAATTTTATAATTTTTTAAAGAAGCGGAATTGATCGGAGCATACTTCAAAAGCCAGGGAAGTTCTGTCAAAATAACCTTCCACAATTTTTTTCTAGCTTTGTTGTTCTCTCAAAATTCCAAAAAATTTAAACAAATCCAAAAAAACTATCCTTTTTGAAAATCCAGAAAATATGGACAATCTGGAAAATCCAGAAAATCTGGCAAATCTGGAAAACATGGAAAATCTTGAAAAAACAGAAAATTAAAAAAATTTAAAAATCCAACAATCCAAAAAGACGAAAAATCCAGAAAATCCAAAAATTCGAAACATCCGAAAAATCTAAACATCCAAAAAACTCAAAAATTTAAAGGATTTTTTATACTTTTTTTTTCGTTTTTATCGATATCCCTCAATGCACCTTTGAGAGCTGTATATTACAAAATATGGCAATGTTTAAAAGGGGTACTCAACTAAGAGTAAGGTAGATAGTAACCTTGCTATCACGGTTTTTGAAAATCTGGAAAGTCCAGAAAATCTAGAAAAACCACAAAATCCGAAGAATCTGGAAAAGCCAGAAAATCCAAAAACCTGGAAAATTCGCAAGAACCAGAAAATTTGGAAAATGCAGAAAATCCAGAAAATATGGAGAATCTGTAAAATCCAGAAAATCTGACACATCTGGAAAACATGGAAAATCTTGAAAAAACAGAAAATTAAAAAAATTAAAAAATCCAAAAAGACGAAAAATCCAGAAAATCCAAAAATTCGAAACATCCGAAAAATCTAAACATCCAAAAAACTCAAAAATTTAAAGGATTTTTATACTTTTTTTTTTCGTTTTTATCGATATCCCTCAATGCACCTTTGAGAGCTGTATATTACAAAATATGGCAATGTTTAAAAGGGGTACTCAACTAAGAGTAAGGTAGATAGTAACCTTGCTATCACGGTTTTTGAAAATCTGGAAAGTCCAGAAAATCTAGAAAAACCACAAAATCCGAAGAATCTGGAAAAGCCAGAAAATCCAAAAACCTGGAAAATTCGCAAGAACCAGAAAATTTGGAAAATGCAGAAAATCCAGAAAATATGGAGAATCTGTAAAATCCAGAAAATCTGGCACATCTGGAAAACATGGAAAATCTTGAAAAAACAGAAAATTAAAAAAATTAAAAAATCCAAAAAGACGAAAAATCCAGAAAATCCAAAAATTCGAAACATCCGAAAAATCTAAACATCCAAAAAACTCAAAAATTTAACGGATTTTTATACTTTTTTTTTTCGTTTTTATCGATATCCCTCAATGCACCTTTGAGAGCTGTATATTACAAAATATGGCAATGTTTAAAAGGGGTACTCAACTAAGAGTAAGGTAGATAGTAACCTTGCTATCACGGTTTTTGAATATCTGGAAAGTCCAGAAAATCTAGAAAAACCACAAAATCCGAAGAATCTGGAAAAGCCAGAAAATCCAAAAACCTGGAAAATTCGCAAGAACCAGAAAATCTGGAAAATGCAGAAAATCCAGAAAATATGGAGAATCTGTAAAATCCAGAAAATCTGGCACATCTGGAAAACATGTAAAATCTTTAAAAACAAGATAATTAAAAAAATACAAATAATCTAAAACAATCCAAAAAGACGGAAAAATCCAGAAAATACAAAAAATCGAAACACATCCGAAAAATTTAAACAAATCCAAAAAACAAAAAAAAACATTGAAAGGATTTTACATTTTTTTTTTTCGTATTTATTGATACCCCTCAATGTACCTTTGAGAGCTGTATATTGCAAAATATGGGAATGTTTAAAAGGGGTATTCAACTAAGAGTAAGGTAGAGAATAACCGTCCTATCACCGTTTTTGAAAATCTGGAAAATCCAGAAAATCCAAAAAAATGGTAATTTTTTTGTACTTCAATATGGATTTTGCAATTAGGCTCCGCCCCTCGGTCTGACAAGAATGAAATCTTCATCACTGTTGGAGTCGGGACCGGTATGGGTGGAGCTTAATCTCGTGATAAATGTTTCATTCGTTGCCAAACCGAGGGGCGAAACGTAACTGCAAAATCCGTATTTCCCTATAAAAATTAGCATTTTAAACATGTGTTAAATTTTTGTTGTGAAAAGATGACTACCTATATTAAGAGTAAGAGTTAAAATATTAACCCCGCCCACCCACCCTGTCTCAATCGTAATGATTTTTTTTTATTTGTTGTCAACCAAGAGGGTGGAGCTTAAATGCAAAATCCTTATATCTCTACAGGAAATTACCATGTAAAATATGTTTTTGAATATCCTGTTGTTCAATGAATACTGTGTATATAGAATAAAAATTAAAGCCAGGTTTCAATCGAGACGAATGGGTGGCTATATATATTACCGCCCTATCTCAATTCTGATGATTTTTGTATTCGTCGTAAACCGAGGGGCGGAGCTTAATTGTAAAATCTTTACTTTTCTACCAGAAATTACCATGTGAGATTGTTTTTAAGTAATCGTGATATACAAAGAAAACTAATAGATGTATTAATTCAAAAAGAAAACCAAAAGAGAAGCCCCACCCATTCGTCTCGATCTCATTCGTGATGAATTTTTCATTCGTTGTCAGACCGAGGGGCGGGGCGTAATTGCAAAATCGATATTTCCCTATACAAATTTACCATTTTAAACATGTTAGAAGCTTCTTGTGGTGAAAGCTCTAAATTTAAAATTATGTTTACTTCTACTTGATGTACATATTGTTACGTTTCTCGGTGAATAAAATCAGCGTGCTGTAAATTTGTTTCATTGTTTGTAAATTCACCGATCAGGTTAGGATTTTAATCGTTAACTGGTTCTAACACAATTTAACAGACATTAGAGTTGTTTAGACACAGACACTTACTAGGAGATTTCATGAAATTCACTTAGTCAGGATAACACCCTTTGTTTACAAGTTATGAATGAGGTTTCTGGATGCTAATACGTAAGTGTTACATTATAACACTTAAAAAATTAACAAAATTCATAATATCGTGAACTGACAGGGTACTAAAATAATTTCTTCCCTTAAAACAAATTGTTTTAAGTAACCAATCGCTTGGATCAAGGCAACCTTTAACGTAATGTAAATTTTTTTAGCTTTGCAATTTTCACCTCATACAATTTTTCTTTATCTCACAATTTTTAACTTCAGTAATTTCCTTTGTTGAATAATTTAAATTGGACGTAAATTCCCATGCCCTGCAGTTCCTAACCTCACGTACAAGTTTTACTTCACACCAGATCTGTTTGTTTTTATATATCTTTGCTAGTTTTTTTTTTTGTATAGATATTTTGTTGACGAATGTTCCCATCATATAAATTATCCGATGTCCAATCTTAATCTCAAATAACAATTATTTGTTGTTTAAAATTTCACAAGATTGTATGACGAATTTAAATGTTGTTGTGAAACTTCGACACTTGTTCAATTGTAGTTTAATATCAGAGTCATAGAAATTGAACATTTAAAATGGAATTGGGGTAAATAACGCCGAAATACGTGGCAGAAGCGGAGTGCGCGGTTTCTAGTCGAGCTGGCCTGCTGGCGAGGTTTATCGCGCCATCTGTACGAAAGATGCAGATTAGAATAGAATTCAGGGGCGGCTTGTCAGTAATAGAGAATTGCTTTGCGGTCGCGGGGGAGAACAGCCCCGACCGGTAGCCCCAAACTCCGCTTGTGCTATGGGTATTTTGTTGTGCTCTTGTTCCAACGTTGGGATCCACCATTCGCATCTGAACGCATCCCGCCATTTTTCAAAAACACAACGTAGGGTTTTCATTTTGTTAGACGATCACAGCCAAGGCCAAATTTTGAATTTTTAAATTTTCCGCGGGCTCTCAATTTTTTTTTCACATGTTAATTTAAGCCGGGATGTTTGGGTTACCACAATATATGAGATTTTATATTGATAGACAGTGGAATCTAAACAAAAAACGCTCTTGAATTTCATTGGTTTATTTGCTGATGAGTTGTGCAATGTCTTTAAAGTTTAGGAACTGATGGATATTG